CTTCCTCCTCCCCCAGTTCACTTAAAAAAAAAAAAATCATTCACTGTTACACAATTACCTACCTCCTCCCCCAACCCCCAGTTATCTTTGCAGTGATATATCTCTTATTCTGGACTGCTGTTGTACATATAATGCCAACTCATATATATATATATATAATTTTAGACAGCTCTTTCTTTCACCTGTTCCAGTACAATGGTCGTGATCTATCCACTCTTTTCTTTTTCTCCCCCCAACCCCTAATGTCAGACCTGCTTTAAAACAGTGGTATGAGGCAGTATTTGTCCTTTTGTGACTGAGATATTTCACTCAGCCCAACGTGCTCCAGGATCAGACTATTTTATTTATTAATGTTTATTTAAAACTTACAGAATCTGTCTACAGCCTCATTTTCAAACACATGGCTCTCATCATTTTTTATGCTGCTTCTATCCAAGTACACTTAATTCTCACACATTTTTGTTGTAATTGTTATTGTGGTTGTTGTTGATTGCCATCGAGTGGAGTATGACTCATAGCAACCCTATGAACAAAGACCTGAAGCCTTTCTGTAACTATCGTTTCTCAAAGTTCATTACACCTAACTCTTTCAGAGGAGGCTCTGGTGGCCTAGTGATAAGGAGTAGTGCTGCTAACTCAGAGGCAGGCAGTTTGAATCCATCCACTTCTTGTGGGAGAAAGATGGCCAGTCTCCTCCTGTGCAGTTTACACCCTCAGAAAAGCCGCTGGAGCCAGTTCCAATTCCACGGCACGTAACAACAACCACTTTCCGGAGTTTTCTGATTTGATGATTGTTTTCTCTTGTACCAATATTACAGACCTAATCAGTCTCCAGGTGTAGCTGCCTCTCCCTCCTGTTCCTTTCTCTTGCTGGCTGCTTCTGTGTCACCATGGCCATTTGTGAATTTGGGCCCTGTGTCTGTAGTGTTCCTCCTTTGACCACCTTATTAACAAGAAGCCCTTTATATTCCAAATTCACTGCTTGGAACCTTTTAAACACTTTCTGTTTGCTACAGAAATTTCTTTACTTTTTCCAAGTCACAGGATGAGTGTTTTGGTTTGGTTTTTGAGTCTTTTCTCCAAGCCATACCTCCTACCCTACCTCGTTCCTACACAATCACTTGTTCTGTATTAACATGTTCAACAGTTACATCCTTGTATTCCTATCCTTGGAAAGGGATATCATATTTGGCAGAGTGGAGGGGAAGCGAAGGAGAGGAAGACCTTTGATGAGATGGCTTGATTCTGTGATTGGAGCGGTGGGAATAAGTGCATTTGAGATGGCTAGGTTGGCACAGGATAGAACAGCATTTAGAGCTCTTGTACATAGGGTCGCTATGAGTCGCAAGGGACTCGATGGCACATAACAACAACAACAACAACAACAAATTCCTATTCTCTTCTGCAGTTTTTATTCCTTTTCCTAGCACTTGACAAATTTCTTCTTTAACACCCGGCTTGGCCAATATCTCACAAAGCTCTCCTGTGAGTACCTCAAATGAAAGCAGTCTGTGTCCTTTTCAAGGTTAGAATGTACCTCACTTCTGGGTATCTCTGAGGTTGTTCTCATCATGCTGCCTCACAATTGTTATTTTACTCCTTCATTTCTCATCTTGACTGTGTGCATAGACCCTCTTATTCACCTTAGTATATCTGGTAAGTAACTAATAGAGATCCAGCAGATGTTAATCTGTATACAGTTTGGTTTAATTTGGATCAACTTTGACAGATCCAACCACAGCAGGTCAGAGCAGTATGTCTCTCCTGCAGTCCTTCTTCAAACCTTGATACAAACTGAAATTAATGTTTCCCTTCTTTTGGATACACACAACATTAAGTTGTTATTATGTAACATGGAGCCAGAGTCATAGGTTTACTCAGCATGTCTGCTCTGAAAGAATTGCCAAAAAAACAAAGCCCCAGGAATTGACGTCATACCAATTGACATATTTCAACAAACAGACTCTGCCTTGGATGTGCTCACCAAATTGTGCCAAGAAATCTGGAGGACAACCACTTGGCCAACTGACTGGAAGAGATCTATATTTGTTTTCATTCCAAAGAAAGGTGATCAGACAGAATGCAGAAATTATTGAACAGTATCATTGATATCATATGCATGTAAGATTCTGCTGAAGATTATCCAAAAACAACTGGAACAGCACACTGACAGAGAACTGCCTGAAGTGCAGGATGTATTTAAAAGAGGCTGTGGTACTAGGGATAATGTCAGGTGAATCTTGGATGAAAGGGGAGAGTACCAGAAGAGTGTCTGTGTTTCATTGATTATGCAAAGGCATTTGACTGTGTGAATTACAACAAACTGTGGCTGACTCTGAGAAGAATGGGAATCCCAGAACACCTGATTATGCTTATGTAAAACCTATACTTGGAACAGGAGGAAGTCACCAGAACCGAGCAAGGAGACACTGACTGCATGGTTCAAAATTAGGAAGGGGATGCACCAAGGATGTGTCCTATCTCCATACCTTTTCAATCTATATGTGGAACAGATTATCCAGGAGGCTGGGCTGTATGAGGAATAATGTGGCATCAGGATTGGATGTAGACTCATCAACTCTCTGCGTTGTGCAGATAACCCAACCCTGCTTGCTGAAACTGAGGAGAACCTGAAGCGCTTGCTGCAGAGGGCCAAGGACTACAGCCTTCAATATGGATTGAAGCTCAACATCAAGAAAACAAAGATTCTTACCACTGGGAAGATTGGCAGCATC